AAATGCTAAAAAATTGAGTATGGGATTTTCTCAATTTGAAAAGAAAATCTTTAGAAATTATAAAAACAATATTCGTGTAAAATCACCTAAAAAATGGTGCATTGCCATTGTGTCAGTCAAGCCTTTTTTGTTTGTTTGTTTTAGTTTCATCCCCTAAATCTGTAATTCTGAATAAAGCACTCAGATGATGTGAACTACTTTGGCATCCACCCTCTTCATTTCATTATGACTCTGAGCAATGTTACTGAATGTAGCTGCACTGCATGTATCTTCATTCTCTCACATTATTGTATGTTATTCACAGCTCTTTAAAAATGTGCATGAAGCTAACCTATGGATGTTTGGTTGCTTCATCGGCTTCAAGCATGAGTCTAATTCCTGAAGGAAGTGATGGCTGGCCACGGCATATGCACATGCTGTCAGCAAGAAGGAACAGTCTGGAGGGGCCACTGTTAGTGACAATAGGATGTGTTTTTACTGCATATACCAGCTTCATGGGATCCGATTCTCTTTAGATGTAAACCTTGCTCAACCTAGACGTAGTTGGGAGGGCCTTGAACTTTCTACAAGGCAGGGTGCATGGCACTCGCTTAGGGTTGGAGCGGTGGAGGGGACTGGGAGGAGGAGAGGGAGTGGGAATTTGGATTGGTATTTTTTTAAGTAATAATAAAAAAGAAAGAAAGAAAGCAAAACAAATAAACAAAAAAGAAACAGTCTGGGTGCTTCTTTTTCTTGATCTTGTCAGCCTTTCCTGTATGTAATATCCTTGGAATTTGCTGAATGTCCATCAGCTCAGACCATTAACTACAAAATGCAATAGACTGAAAGACTGGGTTCTGGAGTCTGAGAATTGCAAAATCAAAATACCTAAAATAGTAGGTTTTATTTTGGAGACTCTTCTCCTTTGTTACACGAGGCCACCATCTTTTCTTCCTTTTGTGTGCTCTGGGAGAGGTACTAAACTCTTCAATGTCATTTTGTGTAAGGACATCACCATCAGGTACTTAATTACCTCTCAACAATCTATTCTAAACACTACTTATTGGTTTTTTATAACCTTCCCATATTAATTTTTAGTATATATTGGTGCAGGAGAATTGTCTGTATTCTGTCAATCATGTTTTAAATAAACGCTGATTGGCCAGGCAGGAAGTATAGGCAGGACAACCAGACAGGAAGTAAAGGTGGGGCAATGAGAAAAGGAGAAGCTGGGAAGGAGGAAGCCCATTCCTCCCCAGTCCTGCCCAGATCACCAAAAAAGCAGGATGTGACCTGCCCTGCCGAAAAAGGTACTGAGCCAAGTGGCTAACACAGATAAGGATAATGGGTTAATATATATTATAAGAGCTGGTGTTGATTTGTCACTGAAGTGCATAGCTGAAGTTTTTCTTCTTTTTCTTTTCTTTATTCTTTCTTTTCTGCTTAAGAAGATTTAGACAAAGAAAAATCCCTTGGTTCTTTTATATTTCTATGTAAATTTCTTCTGAATTTTATTTATAAGAATGGATTTTGATACTGTAAACTGTGAGAGACATCACTCTGAATAAGTAGTTTTGGTATATTTTGTTTTTCTTCCCTAACTGCAGAAGGCTCTTAGGTGGGAAGCACAAAGTGGTTGTTATTTAGAGGCAAACTTGACTCTGCTTTATGGTGTGATAAACATCAGGGAATGATTGATGTTCAAGAAGATGAAAAGAGAAAACAAATAATTGTAGTGTTTTCAAGGTTTCATCTAAACACAAAAGAATAAAACAGGCAAAGATGATGTAGCTCTGTTTGAATTCTATATAATATTTATATAGCAGGAAAATGTTATCAAGTGACACTTCATTATAGATACCTTATAGTTTTCTCCCAGATAGATGTACATTGTCTTCTTTAGAATCCATCATTATTCTATGAAAATTGGCTGTCTCTAGTCAAAATACACACATGATAAAACCCTTTAGTACTTTTTAGACTCACAGTTATAACAAATTTCTTTATATTTGAAAAACTATTTCAACATTGACCTAAGCCAGTGTCATTCAAGAAAAGCCACTGGAAAGATAGAAATGTTTTCCCCATTGTCCAGTATAGACATCTCTAGCATATGTGACTACTGAGCTCTTGCAGTGCTGTTCAAATGAGGCACTGAATTTTAATTTTTTATTCAGTTTAAACTAAGTCAACCTTCATATTAAATAGCTACATGTATATAGTTACACTAAGAATAGTATACAGCATATTATACTTATCAACTAAAATATGTAAACTACATACAGTGCTATGTTGTCCATATTTTCACTATGTTTAGTGTTTGCAACTGCTATTATTGTTTGCCTAAAATGCATTTGATGAATATGTTAATTATAAAACAGATTAATAAAGAGATATCTTAAGTACCCAAAGAATCAATTAGCATTAATCATTGTGATCCTTTGTCCTGCTATGTCCTAGATGAGAAAAAAATGTAACCTGGTCCAAACTAGTAGAGAGGTTCAGATGCTTCCCTGCCCTTAATGTGAGTTAGACAGATTGTACATTTTCTAACTTGCTTGTCAGCTCTTCTTCCTTTACCCAGTTTTGCAATCACAGTGGTGCAAGCATTGCCTTCTACAAGAAAGTTTTCAGAAGAAGCCTGCACAGAAAAGGGAATTATCTCAGTCTCACATTAAACTCAGAAAAATTCCATTCTTTTAGCTTCATAGAATTTTCATGTGTATTTAGAATATCATATAAAAAATTAAAATATTTTAGGGTATATGCAACAAGTCCCTGCATGAGCAAATTAATATTTTTAGCTGTAGTCTCATTTCTGTTTGTGTAGATTTTGTTATCAATACTCTTTGTGTCATGAATTCTCTTAGTATTTATACAAAATTCGGTCAAATAACAATTTTCTTTTGAAAATAACTGTTTGTTTGATACATTTTTATGTAGCAGTCTTCTTCTTTGCTGAATCCATGAACACAAGTTTTAATGTGTACATATGCCCCACAGTAGTGGGGCCACACTTAACTAGTAACAGCTCCTTATGTCCTCTCTATTAATTTTTCTGGAGTCAATAATTTTATTGTTGAAACGAAAGAAAAATTTTGAAAAATAATTACTAGAGAGATACAGTATGCAAGGGGATACTCAAAGGTGACACGGGGGATCTGGACGTGACTCAACAGTTGAGAGTCCTGCTTCTCTCCCAGAGACCCCACGCTTAACTCACAACTCGCTGTAACTCAGTTGCAAAGGATCCAATGTCCTTTTTGGGCATTGTACATGCACACAATATTACATATACGTACCCACACACATGCACATAAATAGAAAATGAACCTTTAAAAGTTGAGTAAAATAAAATGTAAGATTAAGTTATTGAAAAGTTAATGAAAAAAAACCACATAATTTTTGTCCAGGTTGTAATCACACAAAATGTTAATAAAATTAATGTACAAAATCATCCTTCAGGTCTCAGTTACTTATCTGAGATGATAAAATTATCAAAGGATAAAGAGCTTATTGAAATGTACAATTCAAGAGTACAGTCATCTTGGCAGAGCAGCTAAGATAGCAGGAGTTTGAAGCTATTGGTCATGTCACAGTCACAATCAGGAGATGGAAGTGAATGCATACTCAGTTCCTTTTTCACTGTCTACACTCTAGCATCCTTGCTAGGGAATGACACAACCCACAGTGAGTAGGGTTTACCCTTTAAGTAAATGCAATTGATATACTTTCTAAAGCCATGCCTAGAGACCCATCTCCCAGGTGAGTCTAGAATCTGTTAACAGTTTTCTAAACTCAGCTTCCTTCAGATAGTCCCATTTGAATTTGTAGATGTGCTACACAGATCTATTTTTAGCCGGATATTGCATGGTAAAGGACTTCAGTAAGTCTTGCTAGTTTCCATCCTTTTAGGGTGATATGTTTAGCATGGGCACCATGTCTATTCAGACAAATAAGAAGTCATTGATGGAAAATGTTTGCCGTATGTTTGCGGGACATGCATTCTAGAAAGTAGATCTAGAAGTGCAAACTGGGAAGGTTTTCCCAGATGTTAAAATGTGACACACAGGATAAAATTATCCTTTCCTCTCTTGAACTTTATTCTTTACACACAATGAAGCCACCATCTCATCTGTAGTTGAACTAACCCTAGAAGAGAGCAATTAAAGTTGCAAACAACTCGGGTTTTTGCTAAGATAGCTAAACAATGAGCAACCAAACTCATTGTGCACATCTGATTTTCTGATATACATATATTATTGAAACTATCAAAGTAGAGACATTATATTTATACAATCCAACATCTCAATTTATATGTGGCATTTCATCTCTATGTAGATATGTCATGATTATCTAATAAACATGGCTTTGCGATTAATTATCTTATGCTTTTTAAAATGCAAAAGTAATTATTAATTAGGTTTATCATCATTTTCTCATTCTCATGAGATTGCAAAGGGGTTGAGCTTTGTTTCTAAGCATTAGTGAAAAGAAATAACACTTAATACTTCTTTATATTCCCAATGTGAAGCAATCCGATCTTGCGTTTTAGAGCTAACCTCTGTGCCCTATAGAAGAGCTTGCCCTATCTTATTATAACCACCTCCCTGATAAACTCACAAATGTACTTTAAACTTACCTTGATTTATGACTCTTTGTTTTGAAAAACCATGAAACTGCTTCCAATAACACAGAATATAGGGTAGCCTAAATCTCTGTTCCTAGGCCATGGCCACTCAAATTTTGCTCTAGAATGAACTATATTTTAGTTTCTTAAAATAAATAATATAAAATAAAGAACAAAAGTCGATTAGGCAGAATGCTTTATTGAAGTCGTCAGATATGCAATGAAGATAAGAAATTGTCTGTGATTCTATAGAAACATTCCAATAATCTACAAGGAACTCTGCTTCAGTATGTTGCAATCACACTAACATTTGAATTTTTTTATTTCCCATAAGATCAGTTTAGTGAACGAAATGTTCTATAAACATATATTGGATGAAACAGTTTTGATGTTATGATTTGAGATGATGAGCTATTGTTTCCAGGCTTTCTGATTTTGCACCATAAAATGGATTCGAGAAAGAATAGATGGAACTCTAGGAGGAAACATATATTTAGGAGGTTAGTATTTTCCAGAGTAAGGAAACTTCTGAAAGAATCATGAGGAACAAAGGATATTTCTAATGATAACCAGAGTACCCTGAGCCTTGATTCAGATTACACTACCATATCTCTGACATGGGATCACACTAGGTATATTTGCAGGACCTGTGGACATGGGTCTCGCTGCCTCTCCTCACCTATGGAAGCATAGAGAAATTCAGAAGGCAGCATTTTGGCACTTTCTCTTGTATTATTTCACTAAGCTTGATACATTGACTGTAGTTAGCGTAAATAAAATAAAATCACAAGAGCTTTGAGTTAGAATTAAAGTTGTTGAATATATTAGAAAGTCTAAAATATGAGAAGTTATCTGGGAAAAGCTTGTTTCTTCCAAAAATATTTTGCAAGAAGAAAACTAGAAGAATATAGAACATAAAGATTAAAACAGCCTTAACAGACATAGCTATCAATTTGTATTCATGCTCTTTATAGAGATTCTGATTTAAAAATACAGCGCCAACAAAATCTTTACCTAGCTACAAAAGCCTTATTACATGTAAGAACATTGGAGTAGGTTGAACACTGAAACAGAAATGCAGCAGAGGTGGCCAACGGCTGAGCCTATCTGATGGGGACCGATGGGTGATCGAGAGGGTTTTGTTTCTTTTACTATATCCCCCAAATCAACAGCACCATATGACATTTCTGTATGAGTTTTACAGTAATATTTTAAATAAATATATTTTTCTTTTATGTCAAAGAGCTTGGAATAGACTTAATTCATTTATCTAAAACAATAGAGATGTGGCAGGGTTTCTTCTTTAGTCCTACACAATGAACTGAAAAGTAAATTTTAAAAAGAATGTGGAAATGTGGAGAGGAAATAAAATGAAATTCTGAAGTCTTGCTTTGCATGATCGATGTCAAACTGCAGTGAAACCTGCTTGAAAGCATGCTGAAAAGTGAGCCTTGGAGCTAGCCCTCTCCCTGTGCATTCCAGGAAGCATGCACCCACACACTATAAACACTGTCTTTTCAGGAAAGCAAGGAAAGTAGGGCACCTTCGAAGCCACTATTTATTGACTACTGGTTTGTTGAGATACTAACATACAAATTCTCACATCTAAAAATTTCATTTTAATTTCTCTCAGAATTAGCATTTATCAGACACCAAAAAACTTATGTAAGTTGAAGATAAAAAAGATCAAATTTTCTTATCTTCAGCAAAAATATACATGCATTTGTATATATTTCTTATTTAATTGATTAAATATTGCATGCCTGTAAGAATTTATTGTTAATTGAGTAGAAATATGTCTAATTTTCTCACTGAGTCATCCACATAAATCCCTGCATGGTCAGTGTAATCTCTTCCTGTTGCTTTTTTTTTATTTCCACCTAAACAAAACCTATAAGTGTACATGACATATTTATTGAAGAAAACATGAAAATGTAAAAAGCCAACAAATATTCAATAACATCATACAAGGTCCTGAAATGTTAGATATCATCTGACTTGACTCTTTGGTGTTTGTTTGTGTTGTCAAGAACAAAAATTAGAAACAGCTGACAGATTATTTTATAAAAATTCAGCAGGAGAACTGGGGAAATGGCTGAGGTCTTCAGAGCATATACTGCTCCTAGAATCAACCCAGGTTGCTGCATCACATCTGGACCTGCAAACAACCTGTAGCCCATCTTTGGATGTACTTCCTCCTGCTTACACCTACACTGATGTGTATGTATTTCCCACACCAACATGTAGACATAAAACACATATAAAAAATAAATCTTTAAAAATGTACTAAAGAAAAATATCCAAGTTTTCTTCTATCTACTTATTAGTGAGGCTACACATAAGCCAATAAAACACCCAGTGAGTAGCTGCCGGGAATAGCTGAGTAATGCTCCTCTATGGGTTAAACAGATATTTTTCAGATTTACCAGCTCTCTTGGAAGCAGTACAGTGACCACAACGCCATTTAATAGTGAACTGATTTTACAAGCAGAATTAAACTGTCCTAAATGGAAAATATCACTCACTTCTAGAGCCTTAAATGTCTTTTTGCCCCTAATTGAAATAGTTCACCAGAATGTTTCTCTTAGCTATGATGTAGAAATGGTTCCAAATACAACTAATTAGTGATGGGTAGGGTGTGCGTGTGTGTGTGTGTGTGTGTGTTTGCTTCTGAATCAATGTGATTTACCTTGCCACTTACCTCTGTTTTCTCTGGGTTCATGCAATTCCCATAAACTGGATTGACAAAGGCACAGTTGCCACCCCCCTCAGATTTCCTTAAAACAAAACAAAACAACAACAAATCAGGGTCACAAAAACCCAAATATTAGTGAAAGAGTACTGATTAATTTATTTCCTTATTTGTTTTTTTTTACATCCTAATATTTTTTCTTTTTTTTTTTATTTATTAAAGATTTCTGTCTCTTCCCCACCGCCGCCTCCCCTTTCNGTGTTTATCCTGTTTTTGATATTCTTAATTTATAACAGATCTAGTGACAGGCAATTTGCTGTCCTGTCCTTTTACTTACTTTATGATCTATGTCCCATTGCATGAAAATCTTTTTTTATACATCTTTTTTTTGGCAGTCTTGCTGTGTTGCCCAGTTCAGGTTCAAACTCTTCTTCCATCTGCCTTAATCTTTAGGTGAGTGAAATATAGGCATGGATCACCTTACCTGGCAATAAATAAGTATTAAGTGCTCTTGGTTCATGTTCAAGTCATTGTTAGAAATTTTTGAGGGACACACTGTCTCACCAGCACACTCTTTTTTTCATCAATACATTACCATAAATTATATTTTTTTCTCTGAAGGACACCAAGGCAACCACATTCATGAAAACAAATATAATTTGAACTCTTGAGTACCTAGATCTAAATAGACTCTGGCAAATAAAAGGATCGTCAGTTGGTTTCAATGCTGATTTCTTAAATATTGCTCAAGTCATTCATCAATGCAGCATCAGAAAGAGCAATGGAATATAACACTGTAATATGGAAAGCCTGTCTTGGACCCCCTTACACTAGAAGTGCCAAACCACATCCCGAGATCACGCCTCATGACAGTGTCTCTAGAAATCTGAAGTCCATGAGTCAAAATATTGAGTAGTTTAATCAACAATCTTATACTGGAGTGTTTGGGAGTTTTGCTTTATTTTTATTAATTTAGTTTTGCATGCATGTGTGTGTGTATTCACTTGCGTGTGAGCACACATGTGTGGTGTGGTGCCCATACACTTGTCTGAACATTGTATGGAAGCCTAAAATTGACATAGGATGACACTTTTGATGAGTCTCACTTTCTTCACCAAAGCAGGGCCTGTCTATTGGACCTCGGGCTCACAATTTTGCCTAGTTGAGTTAAGCAGCTTGTTCCTGTGACTCCCTGTCTCCCCACCTTCAAGGCTGGAATTCCAAGAAGGTTGTCATGCTCAACCAATGTTTACATTGAATCGGGGGATCTGAACTCTAGTTCTTTATTTTCCTACAGAGTCGTCTGTTCAGCCTTCTGAAGCGTTTTTCATGTGAGTATTTCTTCTCAAGGCATGGACTAGATCTGTACAATACAGAACAATTGAACTCCTACATGATTGCTTTCTTTTTATACTTTCTCTTCTTGTTGGAAGACAAGCAACTCTAGAAGAACTGATAAAAAGTGACACTCACTAAGAAACAAAAACAATACAACCAATAACTACTCAATTACAAATAGAGGGAAATTCCAAATACATGCAGAGAGAGAGAGAGAGAGAGAGAGAGAGAGAGAGAGAGAGAGAGAGAGAGAGAGAGAGAGAGAGAGAGAGAGAGAGAGAGAGAGAGAGAAGAAAGGGGACATTTCTGGGATAATTACCATTGTTTTAACAGCAACGAAGAGGAAAAATATAAATGCTATATTTTTTGTTTAATTGGGGTACAATATCAATTAACAAGTTCATCAGTATACACCCTAAAGGAGAAGAGAAACCTCCTAACGATAGTCTGTTTAAAATTTCCAGAGGCTAGTCCTCCTATTGCTATCTACCCAAATTACACAGGATTTTTCTAAGCAGCAGCAGCATTGCAGACCCTAACCTGGGCGATAATGTTTGGGTAGAAACACATCTTCCCAGACTGTCAATATCATCTAAGCACACTACCATTATTGCTTTGTAAACCTTTAGATTAAATATGCCATAGATGAAACAGTTTGCTGTCATTAAGGGTACATTTTGGTAAATGACACATATACCTAATATAGCTTTTTAAAGTCATAATTTGAAAAAACAGTTACATATCTAACCTTAAATATTTCATAAATTTATCTGTTAATTCCTTAACCCACTAATGGAATGCATAGGAATTTCACCATTTGACCTGGATAAATTCATTTGGAATCTTTGTGTTTGTTTCTTTCCAAACTGGTTCATGTTACATAGTCAGAGCAGTAAATTCAGGGCATGCACCTGGACAGGAGTAATCTCTAACTGGTGACTGACAAGAACATAAAGGTGGTTTTTGAAATGTGTCAAAATGGCAAAGCAAGAGCTGGTCTAGGACAGATTGAACATGACTTAACAAGTACCAAAACAGAGTGAAGCTAGAAACTAGGAAGTGTGAGGCAGCCAGAGACACAAACACTGAAAACAAAACTCCAGTCTAAGTTCAAATTGGGAATGAAACCAGGGAATAGGAAGAAGCTTAACTCTAGAACTAGGCAAGGCAGAGAGTCCAGGGATGATGGGCAGGTGACTAGAAACTGATGAACAGACAGGATGACACAAATGATGTTGATATAAGGCAATTGCTTTCGGGTTTGGTCTGATGGAACCCCAGGCAATTCAAAGACGGACAGGCAGAAGTCAGGGAAGTTGATAAAATTCTCAGTCATCTAAATATGTGTAAGGAAGCAATTCTTCTGAAAAGATTCTTCAGTCTTAAATATTTAACCATTTATTTTTCCTGCTAAAGTGAAATATATGGGGTCTGGAATTCAGGGGTTTGATGACTATGAGAATATGTATGGTATGAAGTTGTAATAAAGGGGGCCAGTGTGTGCTGGTGGAAGAACAGTAAGTGTAAATTCTCATGCTTCAAACTCTGCTTCTAGCAGCTTCAAGCTATCTGTATTCCAACCAAAACTATGGCTCTTATTGACAATGCTTGGTTCTTTGGTTAAATATTGATATCTTTACTAATATAATATTATGGTAGACATACGTAACATAAACTTGCCAATGTAGCCAATTTGAATTGTGCAATTCAGTCTTAATTACATTTCTAATATTATAGGAATATATATATTAAATATCACACATGCCCTACAGATAACCCCATCAAGTTAATTTGTTATTACACACACTGCATTAAACTCTTTAATATTCCTAGCCCCAACAATAATTTAAACACTGAGTTACGTACTTACTAATCTACAAATATTATAAAGGGGCAAATAACCAAATGTAAAAGAATAAATTCAAAATCTATGTTATGATAATAAACATGACTTTGTGATGAATGTGTGTATTGTTTTTAACAGCTTTATTAGGATATACTTTATACGCCATGTAATTCATACATTTGTGTTTGTGTATGACACGTTAAGCGTGTACCTGTTCATTTGTGTAAGTGTATGTGCACATGTATGTCTAAGAGAGTGACTGTTATTCACTGTTGTGTTACTGGGCTAGGTGGCACACAGTTTTACTGGTTTTCCTGTTTCTACTTCCAGTTTTATTTTATGAGTACTGGGATAACAGACATGGAGTACTATATAGGCCTGGCTTTACATGGGTTCTGGGGATCTGAACATAAATCTTTCACTTGAGAGGTAAGGATTTACTCACTAAGCCATTTTCCTAGTCCTCAATTCACAATTTACACACACACATACACACACACACACTCCAATGTTTTATGATAATGTTAATTTTATTAAATTTTAGTTACTAATATAATATTATTGTAAATATACGTAACACAAATTTGCCAGTGTAACCAATATGAATTGTACAAATCACTCTTATCCTAATGTTATGCAACTGTCAATATTATCTATCTTCAAAATGTGTTCATCACTTCCAATTAAAACTCTATAATCATTAAGCTGTAATACACAACTAATTATTAGAGTGTTGGGGAAATTATCTTGCTATTATAAAACATTAGCGTACCAGGTAAATAAATCTTTCACCAGACTGAAAGGAACAGAAAAGAGACAGTGACATACTGTCATTCTAAATATTGAAGACTGTATCTTGGCAGGAGACTGGGCAGGATTGACAGGAAAAGGCCAAGTTAAATCCCTTCATGCACTGTAAGTTTATCGATTAATATTTTATACACTGTAAAACTTTCATAATTTGTTTAATTACTTTTATGATTAGCAAGAGTATCACTTATAAAATTTATTTGCATAATTGCCATTTTTATCAGACGTGGTTTAATATCTTTGTTAGCCTTGTTTTTTTTCATTTCATTTGCCTATCATTTTGCATGCTAGTGAGATGGACTGGCTTTTAAGTCAAGCCCATCAAGCACCTAACCCTACTACTATTCCGTATAAGCAAAGATGTCATTGTATATATATAGCCCCTTAGGGGCTAGAAAAACAGCTTAGTTGGAAAACATCTTATCGCATAAGTATGAGGATCTGAGTTCAGTTCCTACAATGCATATGATAAGGTTTTATGGTAGATGCTTATATCCCCAACTAGGAGAGGAAGAGACACGTGGATGTTTGAGCAAACAGAACAGCCATCCTAGGCAACTTGGTAAGTTCCGTGCAGTGAGAGAACCTGGCTCCAAAGGAAAGAAAAAAGTGGACGGTTCTTCTTTGGCACTGACATGCACACAAAGACATATGTACACACAATACACATATGCACCCATACAGAATTAAGAGTGGATTAATTTTACGCTCTTAATTAATTAATCAGGCTTAGAAAGTGATTAGGGAGAACCTAGCTCAATAAAACAAAATGCAACAACATTTCAGATGGTCTCTCCAGTTCATCTCCAAGTAGATCATATTATCAGACTTCCCTGTCTTCCTCAAAGCATACAGAACCATACTTCCTTTTTATTCATTTCAATTTTTAATTTATTTTCAGATTACCATATAAAGAGATGAGTTCCATCCAAGCATCTTGGCAAACATGTTATTGTACTTTGATCTCATCTCGCCCTTTCCACTGTCTCCCCTGAAGAAAGATGCTTAAAAGAAATCCCACACTAGCTCAGAATTGAGAATAATAGATGATTATTTAGGTAGGGGCAGACTCACAAATCAGAATCCTCTGC